AACTGGGCACATGAAATAGATAAAATAGATCCTCCCCCCCCCCCCCCCCCAGGAATTCCTACAAGAGAATTCTTCAGTTGCTCCCACAATGCTGATTTCTGTTTGGGCAAAATAAATACAAAAGGATCCTGCTAGTTCAGGATTTAGATTTGTGATGACACATTTACTGATTGAGATCAAGTTGGTGGGACAATAGCAGGAGCAGTCTTTCTTTGGGTTGTATAGAGCTTGAACTAGTGCGTTGCAAATAAAAATGTTAATATATATACTGAATGGTGTTGTTGTTTATTCGTTCAGTCACTTCTGACTCTTCGTGACCTCATGGACCAGCCCACGCCAGAGCTCCCTGTTGGCCGTCATACCCCCAGCTCCTTCAAGGTCAAGCCAGTCACTTCAACGATACCATCCATCCATCTTGCCCTTAGTCGGCCCCTTTCCCTTTTTCCTTCCATTTTCCCCAGCATCATTGTCTTCTCTAAGCTTTCCTGTCTCATGATGTGGCCAAAGTACTTCAACTTTGTCTCTAATATCCTTCCCTCCAATGAGCAGTCGGGCTTGACTGAATGATAATATTGTTTAATTTGTTTTTATGAATATCCAGAATTGGTTCCAGAATTGTTTTGGGTTGTCAATTTAGAGCAGTGGTTCCCAACCTGTAGTCCGTGGACCACCAGTGGTCCACAAGAACTAAAATATAGTCCACGGCCTCACCATTACTGTCCCGTTGCAGCAAGATGGACTGGCAAAACCCTTTATTAAATATGGTTTTCTGTGGGCAAGCAGATGGCGACTACTGTATCAGAAACTACAGCTGATGTTGGTTTATCCAATGCAATTTTCTGAATCAACACGCCAAATAACCAAACCAAATCTAAAGTTGACCAAAACCCGATTTGTAACCCTTTTAATACTAATGTTGGTGAGTGGTCCCTGGTCAAGTGTCTGTGCTCTAAAAAAAAAGGTTGGGGACCACTGATTTAGAGGGTTTGGGGCCTCTTTAGGACTTCACATTTCAAAATATTATAAAAAGTAATATATTAGTAAAATTACTTAATTTGTTAAACAATTAAATAGTATATATGTGGTAATTAAGTTATTCTTAAAGTAATGTGATGTGATGAAAGAAACAATGTAATCTTAACACATTTACTTTATGTTCCAAGCTCCTGAATTCTTATTTTTAAAAACTCTGACTCCTTTGCGTGGTTTCCCACTTCTTCATCTAACTTTTTTTGCTTTTGAAAACCCAAGTAATAAAAGCAGAAGTATATATTTTGTTTAGCTCCTACCGGTTCCTACCAAATAGAGTAGACCCATTGAATCAATATAACCACTGATGCAATGGGTATATTCTAGTAAGATCTAACAGGGGTTTGGCTTTTTTTCTGAAAACTTTCACCTGCAGAATCTTCACTGGTGCATCAAGAAAGGTGCAAAATATACCATAGTTTTAAAACAAACCAGTTATTATCTCAGTTTTACATTGAATCTCCTGCCACATTGCCAAAGCCTTTCTTCTGGATTTCTCCCTTCACTGCCAACTCTACCTTTGTCACATCTTGCTCCCATGTAGCCAGTGAAACAATCACAGTTAAAAGAGCCCCAGTCACCAATGCATTTGCCATGGACACCGCAGGAGGGTATTCCACCTTTTTGGCACAGTCCATCTGTCAGAGAACAGCCTGGTGCACTGTTTAAGGACTCTGCAGGTTGCTCCAAATTGTATACCTGCATATAAAGAGGAGATATGCAAAAAGAATTAAGGTAAACACAATTGCAGTTACATTTAGCTGAGAAGCGAGGTGGAGAAACAGTGCATGCCTTTTCATGCTCTCACCTGGCTATCAATGATGACATTCCGAATGCAACCCACAAAACCTTTGAAGTGCTTCTGGGATGTATGGTAGGGCTGGGCCTTCTTGACCCCACCCAGCTGGAGAGGTTGGTGGACATCCAGATTTCTACCAACAGAAAGAACAGTGGGGAACATAATTTAAAGTGCAGTTGAAGCTAGATTAGGCAAGGGCAAACTTCAGCTCTCCAGATGTTTTGGACTTCAACTCCCACAATTCCTAATAGCCTACTGACTGTTAGGAATTTTGGGAGTTGAAGTCCAAAACATCTGGAGGGGCCAAGTTTGCCCAAGCCTGAACTAGATGCACAATGCTATCCATATTGTTCTATTTTTATTAGAGCTGATTTATTTATTTATTTATTTATTTATTTATTTATTTGAGGAATTTATATCTTGACTTTCTCTGAACACAGACCCAAGGCGGTTAGAACAGAATGAAAACATACAACACAAAGTTAAAACAACCCATTGAGACATAAATATTTGAAACAGCAAACACAATTAAAACTGTGTGAACACTGAAACCATGATAACCAGAGTTGTCAATCCATTTAATAATTCTTGTACGAATATTTATTGCTTAAATCAGGCTCATCCAACCTGCATACCCAGGATAGTTAAGAATATGGCTCAATACAAAATCATACATTTACTTTATACCCAGGGTTTTTTTTTACAAGGAGATATGAGATTCGTTTTTTGATTTTTTTAAAAAACCCGATTGCATGGTTCTCAAATCTGAGCTTTGTAAACAACAGAACAGAATGGAATAATCAAAGTATGTTGCATCCACAAATACCATATCATTAACAGTAATTCGCATTATAATAGCAAACAGTTTGACTAGAAGACCTGCTCAATTATTATAAGACCTGCTCAATGGTTTACATTACTACTTTGGAAGTCGAGTATAGTTTCTACAAACTAGAGATGCCCCAGGGTCAGATAAAATGCTAATTCATACTTAATGTTAATCTAGAATAGCAGATATGAACCCAGGAAGGAAGGGTGTGGTGGAGGGAGAGTTGCAAATTAAGCAGCACAGTGTCTGTCCTTGAACCTTTAAATAGAGTCACTTTTTTGCATAGTTCAAAGTCAACACATAAAGTATACTTATTTGGAGACACGGCCATTTCAATTGAGCCCCTCATGGTTTAATCAGCCCAAAACTTGAGTTGACTACTCTACACATTAAAGCTTTCATTTATAGGGTTTACCTATCACTTCCTGGAGTTTCAGAAGATACTTTACAGACAGAATGATCCACCTTTGACACATCCTCTTGGGCATCATCATTGTTTGCAAAAGAGACATTGGCACAGTGGTCCAAGATCAGCTGTACTTTCTAAAATGGAAAATATATTTATTTTGACTGAGAATGCAGTCATCATCATCAACATCAACAGCATCCTTATTAATATCCTGCCTTTTCCCCAGGCCTGGGATATAAGGTGCATTATATGTTTAAAAGATTGCATTTAAAATATACAAAACATGAAAACAAATTGAAACTATTAATAATATGAAAACATACACTATAAAAAGATTTTTAAATGGTAAATAATTTTAAAATAATACAGCCCTAACAGCTCTTTTCTTTAAAACCTTCAATTCTAAGGTGCCTGATCTTTTGAAAAGTATTTGTGTGCCAATGGAAAGAGAACAAAGAGGAGGTAATTGTAACTTCCCTAGAAAGGAGATTCCATATAAAGTGTAGAGACAGCCACAAAGATGGCCCTATGAAGGACCTCTCTTAAGTATCTCAAGGTCCGGGCAGCTCGTATGGGAAGATACAGTTTGCCACTTAGAATAATAGAATAATAAAGTTGGAAGAGACCTCATGGGCCATCCAGTGCCAAGATGAAGGAAAATCACATTCAAAGCATTCCCAACAGATGGCCATCAATCCTCTGCTTAAAAGCCTCCAAAGAAGGAGCCTCCACCATACTCTGGGGCAGAGAATTCCATTGCTGAACAGCTCTCACAGTTAGGTAGTTCTTCCTAATGTCCAGGTAGAATCTCCTTTCCTGCAATTTGAAGTCATTGTTCTATGTCCTAGTCTCCAAGGCTGCAGAAAACAAGCTTTCTCCCTCCTCCCTGTGACTTCCCCTCACATACTTATACATGGCTAAACATGCCCAGCTCTTTAAGCTGCTCCTCATATGGCTTGTTCTCCAGACCCTTGATCATTTTAGTTGCTCTCCTCTGGACACATCACTGGACCTAGCCATATAGGGCTTTATGAGTCACAAACAACCTTGGAAACAATTAAATAGTGCCCAGAAACAGCTCCAAATTGAATACGTAGAAAGGGAGATCTTCTCTCTGCTCATGTCTTTTTCCAATTTAGGCCTATCCTTCCTCCCAGGAAAAATCCAAGGGTTCATGTAGGATCCAATTACAGATCTCTTGGATATGCTGTCTGGCAAAGTTAGAGAACTGTAATCCAAAAAGGTAACTGTATCAAGCTTATTTAGTTGTTCGGTATGTTTTCAATTTAGAAAAATATAAAGATACAAAGAAAATATAGATGCTAAAACTCAAAACAATGAGAGCAATTTTGTGGTAGATTTTACACTTGCCTTTCCATCACTGATTACGTTTATGTTGTGCCAGCGACGATCAGCCACATTCACTTTTTTCAACATCCGTAGGAACAGTGCCCCTGAGCCATGGTTTATTGTTAGCGATGGAACACCTTCCAAGAGCTCTGTTTACGAGGAGAAACAAGGGGAAAAAAACCTAGCTTGCTTGGCTTCCCTTCCTGATATAGCTATTATATTTTTATATCATAAAACTATCAGATGGCAATAACTTCATGTATTTCTAAACATCCAGCAAAATTACTACTGGCAGAGAAATATACACTAGATATGCACACCAAAGTTAAAACTGAACTGCCATAGTTCAGAAACATTTATCTTGACTGATGTGGCCCAGCAGGGTTTTCCCTACATTAGAAAATAGTTGTTAAATTTCATGTTATGGAAAAGTTAAGGGATTTGGACTGCAGCTCCCAGGATGCTCTCAGCTAGCATGCCTACTCACTGTGCTGAGTGGAGGCTTCTAGAAGTTAACGTCCCAAAACTTACTTTGGAAACTTCCCTATGTTTTCCAAAATTGCTAGCCATACCTTACATCACTCTGCATATATGTGTGTGTGAGAGAGATAGAGAAAAACAGAAAGAGAGCACATGCATGTGGATGAACTGGTAGTTGGGTAGTAGGTGGCAATACTGAAAAGCCCTACAAAATACTGTTTATTACTCAGTTGTGGAATACTCTGCATTTGTAGCTGCTGAGTTTTGTGTATCTCCATATCAATCCTGCACCAGTTCTTTAAGATACAGCTATACATTTCTTGAAAGGAACATGATAGGCTTAGAAAACACATGCCAAAAAAAGAAGGCTAAGAACTCAACCTAGTGCAATGAAGTCCTCTACTTCTCCTGGCTTCACACGTGCTACTGGTCCATTGTAAAGCAAAAGGCCATCTGCCACTTCAGTAATGAAATCCAGGGAGATTCGACTCTGGAAGCATGGCTTGATGGGCGGGAACCAAGCATATCCATGTCCTTGGAAGGTATGCTGGGTCTGTTGGCATTCTGGCCCATGGAAAGTATTTGGGCACTTGCAGCTGCAGAAATGAATGGAAAGCATTGCTGTAATCCAGCTTCCATCTTTTATCAAGACATATATGCTTTTCAAGACTGGAAGTATAGCTATGACTGGGGAGACCAAGATCCAAATCTTCACTTGCCCATGGAGATCAGTGGATTACTTTCTTTGTAAAGTTACTATTGCTCAATCTGACCGAGTTTTAGAGGTAAAATTAAGTTTTACCTTTAAAAGGTAAAATTTTAAAGTTTTAAAGTTTTAAAGGTAAAATTAAGAGAGAAAAAAACCATAACTGTTTTATTGAGCTCATGGAAAAATACAATATATATAGATATGTAGTATATAAATGAACCTACTGTCACACATGCATGAGCACATATACATAAATATCATTATCTCTACAAAGATAAGTAATAGTTTTTTTTACTATAATGGAAAGTTATCCACATTATCTCATCATCTTGGTGGTTTCCAAAGGCTAGAAGTGACACACAGTGGGTCCTTGGTATCAGTTGGGGTTTGGTTCCAGAATACCTTGTAGATACCAAAATCAATGGATGCCCAAATCCCACATATACAATGGCATAGTAAAATGGTGTCCCTTATATAAAATGGCAAAATTAAGACTTGCTTTTGGGATTTTTGGGGTGTGTGTGTGATATTTTCAAGGTGTGGGTGGTTCAATTCATGATGGATAGAGGAGGACAACCGTAAAAAATAAAAACTGAAATTCACTATACTGTAAGGTACTAAAATAATAATGGCTAATATTCAAAAAAGGAGAAAAAACATTCCAAAATGTTTTAGGGGAAATAATGTCATGCTGAGGTTAAAGGGAATGTTTATATTAAGGTTTCTAATCTGACAAGAAACTGTTAGTATAGTTATGACAAAGAATCAGGCTTAGGTGGAAAGCTATTTCTTGTTTGACTTTGTCATATGTGTCAAACTTAAAACAGTGGAGATTTCACTTTAGGAAGGCTAGCACTGCCATCTAGCATTCTGGGAAAAATATAATTTCAGCTGTATGGTTAACATGGATACTTACGAATACCTTATATTAGCATGTCTTTGAAAACAAAGACTTGGCTCCATGTGGCAAATAGCATGACCCTTCATAGCAATTTACAGAAAGTTTATTCTAGAGCTTTCTTAGCAAGATTTCCTCAGAGAAGGCTTGTCATTGCCTTCCTTTAAGGCTGATAGGATGCAACTTGCCTAAGGCAAACCTGTGGATTTCTGTGGCCAAGTGGGATATGAACTCTGGTCATCTGAAGACCCAGTCCAACCTTGTCCATAATAGCTGGCTCTCTCCATAATAGCTGGCTGTTTGTAAATGCTTCTTAAGTACAGAGCAAAGCACAATCTATCCAACGTTTGGCCCGCAGTGCAATTTTGCAACCCGACCTGTTGAGGTTTATATGGCATAATAGCAAACAATGTCAGCACTGCACCGGTAAGTCCCTGGCTCAGATTATAACTGATGTCACTGTCTAAATAAGCTATCATCTCTCAATGGCAACCTCTCATCTGCAGATCACCAAATCCGTATGTATTTGGTCAAAAACCAAGTATGAAAACAAATGTTCAATCCCTCAAAGAAACATTTCTGATCAGGGATCCAATGAGCATGAAACATTGGCCTATGGTGCTGCTAAGGCTTTGTGGGATGAGGTGGAAGTGTGTTTCAGCTTGTGAGGAAAGGATACTTTTTTCTCTCTACTTGCAAAAACAAAAACAAAAGCAATATTGCAATGTGGTACATTCATCTGTCGGGAGTTCTTTTATTGTGTGTTCCTGCATGGCAGGGGTTGGGGTTGGATGGTACTTGTGGTCTCTTCCAACTCCGATTTCACAACCTTCTTCCCTGTTAGCCAGATATACCAGTTACTAAAATCATAAATGTCCTCTGAATAACTCTTACTAAGAAAACACTATGAAAGGGTCATGGTAAAAAGGCTTATAACACCACCACCTTTAAGAAGTAAATCAGTTGGGAATTTCTTAAATTACCTGTAACCCAGGTCAGTGTCTGTGCAGGTGCCACCATTAAAACAAGGATTTATCCTGTAGGAGGAACAAGAATGGTGCTTCCTTTCCCGAGCTTCGCAAGTGCATTGTGCATTGCTAAACACTGTAACAGAGGCCAGCAAAACATTTCCAGAGGTAGTTATTGTGGGAAGAGGGCTGAATTCATTTTTGCTGATACACCCAGTGCTATGAGAGCAGTTTGCATTCACACACGCATCAATGCCAATCTGAGTGATGTTGATGTTCAAGACAGTTTCCAGCTGTGGATAAGATCAAGTTTTAGTATCTGCTTTTTTTCAAGGAACCAAAAATATCTAGATTAGCTTGAACATCAGAAATGCTTCCTTGGAGTGTGGCAGAATCTCCTTCTCTGTAGGTTTTAAAGTAGAGGTTGAATGGCCATCTATCAGGGGTGCTTTATTGCATTTTCCTGCATGGCATGAAGATGGACTGGATGGTCCTTGTGGTTTCTTCCAATTGTATGATCCTATGAAACAACACCTGATGGTGACTCCCATGTTATTGGGGTGATGGATCCACACTGAGTTTAAGTCTGAATTTTAAAGTTATTACCCAAAACACTCAACTTGTTGTTGAGGATAGGGTTCAGTACTTTGGATAACTCCTTTAAAGTCTGGGCTGGAGCTGATTCACAGCTTCACTTACATGGGAATCATTAATCCTCATTCAATTGAAAACTACCAAAACTTTCATAAATTATACTAAAGGCATTGTGGGGTTTTATTTTTTACAAAAAAATGCCATAATATATGGAAGTAGCTTTTAAACAATGCTGTTGTCATTAAGAATATTACCATTTCTGAACAAATGTATATTGAATTGCTATAAGGCTGGATCCAGTGCTATCTGCCTGTCAGTAAATGCAAACAGCTAGTGATTTCTTCTCACTCTCTGAACATCCCAAACAGTCCAGCTCTGGTTTTGAGGACTGGGAAACACTTTGGGGCAACAGATTTGAAAAATGGATGAGGCTTGCAAAAGAGACAAAATGAAGAGGGAGTTTCATCACATGAATGAAGGTCTGTTCACATAATCATAGATGTAGCCATGGGATAGGTAGGTACTCTTGTGCCCAAATTAAAATATAACAAAACTTCCATTGTGTGTGGATGTTCTTTCAAATCATGAATTTCATACATTTTCTTGACCAAGGAATACTCAGAAGTGTTTTTGCCAGTTCCTTACTCTGAAATATAGCTGATGGAATCTGGTATTAGTTGGCAACCTCCCACCCAATTACAAGCCAGCTTCAAATGTCAGATGTTATTGGGTGGCTTTGGAGTATATATGTTCTTTATCAGTCACAATTCATTCTTCCACATCAGTTTCATAGGGATGGCAGGGGAAACTAACTTAGCCTAGATCCAAATCCAAGTTTATTTAAAACAGTGAAAATGTGGAGAAGGAGAGCAGTATCTGTTCACCAGCAACTCTGGAACAAGAGCCATTTGGCACCTTCCAGTACACTCATACAACCAAAGTCCTAGTAATAATAGATTTGCTCACTGGGTTGAATATCACCTTTCCCCAACAACTAAACTGAATCACTAGTACAGTGAGAACTACCATCTCATTTAAGCATTTCCTTAGGGAAATGTTATCTCAGTCTTGTTTAATTATGTAGTAACTGCTGTTCATGCAAAACCAGACCATCTGGAAAAAAGCTGTGGATAAAAGTTCTCTATTAGACATAAAAGAATTGAAGGAATAAATATTCTATCACATGTATTCATTAGAAAAGCAATAAATATGTTATCCAGAACAGAAATTCCAAATGAAAAAATAAGGGGAAAATACATACCCGTGCCTTTGAGACAGCAATATTGCCATTCAGTTTTTCTGCTTTGTAGTAGGGTGAGCCATGAATTGCAAACCAAATATCTACTCCTTGCGTTTCACCTGGACTATTCAAGACACTGAAGATGTGGACATTTTCGAGCTGGGCTGATATGATTTCTGAGAAAAGCATCTTCATTTGATTGTACTTACTTTCACTCTCAGATGATTGATATATAAAATCTTCTGCAGTGATATCTGTTTTCAAAGAGACAGTCATGTTAGTCTGTTGCTTTTGGAAAATGGCTATTCATAACCCTTTTGGGGAAACCAGGAATCTCTACAGGCTTTTGGAAACACAATCCTTTTGGAGATAAATTGGCATTCACACTATTTGGAATAATCATAACCTTTGGAAAGTATAATCTTCCCGAGAAGAGTTAAAAACTCACTAGAGTCAACCTTCTCCTTAGTGGTAAATATCCACTAGTATTCATGCAAGGCAATTAGGTTTTTCAGCTGTTAGACCTAGATATCTCTTTGAACTGTTAGGAACAAAGATATGCCAATGCATAAAAACAACAGAGTTTCAGAAGTGTTATTTCAGTTGCTCAAAAACATCTACTTTCCCTGGATTTAAATCATGCTCTCAAGAGACAAAAATAAAGTAGTCTTCATTAACAGTAATATAGTTGGTTTACTCACAAACTTCATGTATTCAGCATATAGGTATATTGCTTATCAATCCACTTACAGATAGTATGTGAAGTAGTTTCTCTGTGCAGATAACACAGGGCATCCATCTTATAATCAACAGTCCAAAATCTAAAGCATCTCTCTTTTATGAGAGTCTAATAGAGTATCTGTCCTCTAAAGCATTCTGTTTCTACTGGCATCTGTAAAGCATACTGTTTCTAAAATGGAGTCTGAGTCTGAACAGTCTCAGATCTGATCACATGTTCTGCAGTCCCTCCATAACATAGTTAAGGAAAACTGTATACCAACACACACACACACACACATAATGCAGTAAGAAATTTGAATTATATACAAAACAAACAACTAGTATAGGAGGCTTGTAGAAGATTGCTGTATCCAACAGTTGCAGCATTGAAAGGAAACCTAATGGAAAAGAAATCTAGAAGCTTGTTGGATACTATCAGATTTATCTTAGCAAAAAAAAATTGCTTTCTCATGGATTGAAATCTAAGAAAGCTCATGAAAAATAAGCTCATTAACTCTTAAAACACACTGTTAAATTGCTGCTGACCTCCTTTTTTATGCAGTGCAGTGATATCTGGTCTTGGTCAACAATCCATCTAGAATCAAGAGTGATGGTACCCCACTGAGACTGTTAAACTTCAGCCTTCAGTCCCATAAGCTATTGCTTATTAGTCATACGTTATTGCTCACTCAATTGTGGAACTGCCATCCTTCACTGGACTACTCAACATTAAGAACATAGAACGTTGCCTTGCACCAAATAGGACCAGTAGTCAACCAAACCTAGTAATGTCATCTCTGAATAAAAATTGTTCTCCAAAATTTCAGCAGGATTCTAGGATTTTTTGTAGTCCTATCTAGAGATCCATGGCATTACTTGGTGGTCTTCAATCCAAGTATTAGCTTAGCTTCAGAAATAAAATGAGACCAGAATGTTCACCACGATAGAGCATTAACAAGCATTAACAAGTATCTAGAAAGCATTCAAGGCACTCGTCTTTTACCTCTTATTCTGACAGACCCTGCATTGTGAGCAGCTTCTTCTTTGATTTCCTTTACAACCACCTTTACAGTTGAGACCACATCAGGCCAGATGCCATCTGTAACTTTAACCCTGAGGTCATATATTCCTGATGGAGTTCCTTCCTTTATACTTAGTAAACCAGAGTTATCATTGAGGATAAAATGCCTGGAAGAATAGTTTACAAAACAGTTCAAGTTCTAGTTAAATATGGGTACTCAGATCTCCAGCTTAATTATTACTGATTTTTTATTTTGTGTCAAAAGCATTGCATAATTAAGTATAAAACTGATAAAAATAGTGGTTAATTATTTTTTGACCAAAACCGGGCAGCAGCAACCATATTGTCTGTAGCCTTAATCAATTCCTCCTCTGTACATGAGGCAGGGCATTGTGGACAAGCATACCGGTGCAGAGTTGTTTGTTCTGCTCCAAGGTGGGACATGGAAAGAGCCTCCTCAAAGTCTGAGTAAATACAGTTGGGCGTCCCTGGGCAATGTTTCTTGTAAACTGATAATCTTTCCAAACCCAAAAGCATTGCTTATAAACATTTTTATTGATGCATTTACCCACTGTGTCTGATTTGCATCTTCTTCAAATCATTCCCTTCCTAACTAGAACTACAAGTGTGTCTATGGATCCTTATAACAAAGAAGTTTATTACTATCACAGCTTCCAAAATCACATACAGATTTTGAGTACTATTTTGTCTGGTAGATTATTTGTCAGCATTGATTTGGATTTTTTAAAAAATTATATTAGAAATGGGCATTTTTTGTCCCTCTGGGTGTTATTGTGCTGCTGCTCCCACCGACTATGCTGACCTGGACTCATGCATATTGCAATCCAACACCTGGAAGGCTAAAATTGTTCGTCCCTAATTTCTATATATTTGTCGATGACAACTACAGCGATGACAACTGCAGCGAGGGAGACTACAGTAGTTTGGAGACTTCTCAAACAAACTATCTTGCAACGGAATAATGTATAATTGGTATGATTTTAACTAATCAAGTATTAAGAAATACCTATTTATTAGGGGCCTTCCACACAGCCATATAACCCAGAATATCAAGGCAGAAAATCCTATAATATCTGTTTGAACTGGGTTATATGAGTCCACACTGCCATATATTCCAGTTCAAAGCAGAAAACGTGGGATTTTATTCAGTTGTGTGTAAGGTGCCCCAAGTGATAACTCTTTAAGAGTACAGTATGGGAATTAATATCTTTGTTTTGATCATTTTATACTCACAAACTAAAAAGCCTGATCAAATGTCTTATTCATACTGCCTTTTTAACATAACAGCATAATGTCTCCTAGATTAAAAGGCAAATTATAAGGACTGGAGTACAGTGTGGATTACATCCAGCAACTCCAAACTAGCATGGCTGGCAGGAGATGCTGTCAATTATAATCCAAAAATTAACTGTATTAACTGTAATAATACATATCTGTATTATGTGTATTTGATTATCTTTAGATGTTTTCTTTTTTACATTCTGTATGTCATAAACACACTCAATAAAAACTTTTAAAAATTTAAGTTAAGTTTTCCAAGCCCTGAATAATCTGCAGTACACATTAAACACATTAAACAAGAGAAAAAGTGTTTCTGCTAGATTACACTACTATAATATTTAGATTGATTACCTGTTAATCATTACACATACATTGGTTTGAGTGGTTTTTGGGATAAAAAGGAACTTTAAAATGGACATTACCTGGGTGCTTTTCCTTCAAAGTGATATGTCTTGTGATCCCAGTCGTCATTATCTGGGGCATGAATCTGACCCAGGACTGTTGTAGGCAGGATACCTTTTAAAAGAAAGTTAAGCATGTATACCTTCCTGCAAGCAAGAAGACACATCCTGCAAACATATTAAGCTTTTAAGATGGCCTATAGATGCACATGTGCTCTTGAAGTGATAAAAGCTATGAGAAGTGGGAAAGTGACATGTATGCCAAAATGCATATGCCTGTGCCCATGAAATCTACATACATATGTGAATTTAACTTTTGAAATTTGATTATTCATGGATTTGATTGATATGTTAGCTCTAGAAATCTCTAGGTCCTCCAACATTAACATAAATAAATATAATTATATGTGGTCAACTTTCAGTGGAGATATGCTCCTGCCCTCATAACTGGAAGCATGCAAGCAGTCATGTCTCATCCCTATCTGCTTACCATTGTAGCTGTAGATGAGACACTCCATGTTGCCAGCAGCATGAGGATGGTCATTTCGGTCTCCGATATTAACAGTTAATGTGTTGGTTGAGCTCATGGGAGGGTTCCCACTGTCAGCAATCAGAATCCGCAAGTGAAATACCTTGTGCACCTCCCGGTCAAATGTATGCAGAGCAGTCAGCATTGCACTTCCATTGTTGAAGTCTTGCAAATTAAAATATGTCACGCTGCCAAAGTCACTCAGTAAGTGAAAGGAGAAAGGTGCCCCATTGGCTGGGCTGTCCCTGTCTTTAGCATACAGCAGCGTTGAGGTATCATTCATTTGGACAACCTGAGGAGAAGGAGTGTTTTCCCAAACAACTGGATTATACAGAGCATCAAACTCAGGGCCATTATCATTAACATCCTGAAGAGCTACCAAAACAGTGGCACTGCTGCTAAGTGAAGGCTGCCCCATATCCGTTGCAATGACCACAAGCTGATACTGTGCCACAGTCTCATAATCTAGCTCTCCAGCCACTATGACCCAGCCATCGTTGGACACAGAGAACCTCCCACTTGGGTCTGACTTATTTAGTAATCGGTAAGAGAACCGTCCGTTCAACCCAGAATCCAAATCAATAGCAATCACTTGAACCACTTTAGTACCAAGGGAGACATCTTCAGCCAGCCCTGCCACTTCATAGAACTGTGGATAAAACAGAGGAGCATGGTCATTGTAGTCCTCCACATAGATGACACAGTGAGCTATGCTGAAGAAATCCAGGTCCTCTGCTTTCACTGTCAAGTTAAAGACCCTTTCATGGGGTTTCTCAAAGTCTATCTCTTTTCTCAGTCGAATCACGCCGAGCTTATTAGCTTTGTCCGTCTCAATGTAGAACTTGTGGTCATCATCTCCATCAAGGATGCTGAACGTCACCATAGCATTTTCTCCTTCGTCTTCATCAGTAGCCGACACCTCAGCAACCAAAGTGTTGACACTTGCTCCCTCGGAGACAAAGGCTGTGTAAATCTTTTGTGGGAAAGCTGGGGCATGGTCATTGATGTCAGTCACCAAAATTGTGGCAGTCCCCGTACCAGTAAGACCCCCTCCATCCTTTGCTTCAACAACTACCAAGTATTTGTCTTTTTTCTCTCTATCTAAGGTACTTAACACAGTATAGATAGTGCCAGTGATTGGATTAATTGAGAACAAGTTAAGGTTAATCTCATTTTTGACATTTTGAATAATACTGTAGGTTAACACAGCATTCTTTCCAGCTGCGGGGTCATCCAGGTCTATTGCCAACATCTCCATCACAGTGGAGTCAGCAGGAGAATCCTCTGGGATTTGCCCCATGAAACAGCCATCAGAGGCACAAAGGAAAAGTGGTGCGTTGTCATTCACATCCATTACTTCTATGATGACATCAGCAAACCCAGTGAGACCTTCACCGTCTTCATCAGTGGCAAGGACAAGGAAGCGCCACGTGGACCGTTTCTCTCTATCCAACTTCTCATTTGCAGTGATCTTCCCTGTGAGCTCATTGATACTGAACTCACTTTGGGCTCCTTGTCCATGCAACGAGTAGCGAAAGCCATTCTGCTTGGTTTCCTGGTCAGGGTCAGTTGCAGAAACCTGTAAGCAAACAAAAAGACTGGCTGACCCTTATTAAAATGGCTGGCAAGACTCTAGAAGTTCCTAGGGAACATAGTTTCGCTACGGTTCTGATGGCTTTTCATGATTAGCAAGAGAACTTGGTGTATTTCGACAGAGCTCTCAAGATGATCTTTCCTCTACCCTTCTGGTTTTAACAGGTTATTATCTTAAATTATTTTCACGATACAGTTTGCATTTTATAAGGTTGGTGCACACACAACCATAATGTCAGAGTCAAAGATGTGTGCCTTACTTGTAAAACAAGCACAGGTAGGTCAGCAAGCTCCTCTAAAACGCTGCCATGGTATTCATCCTGAGAAAAGACAGGTGCTTCATCGTTTATATTGATTACATTAATTACAACAAGTGTGTGGTTCTCCCATTTTCCATCAGAAGTCACCAACTGGAGCTTATAGTGCTGCTGTTGTTCGTAATCGAGATGCTGGGCAATCAAAATGGTGCCCTTCTCAGGTTCCACATAAAAATCTCCTTGCTCGTTTCCTGAAGTTATCTGATATCTCAGTTTGGCATTAGATCCTAAAAAACAAACACAAACATGGCTGTACTTTTTAGAACACAGGAGAGTTCAGTGTTTTATTTATTTTTTGGCAAATAAATGGTCTGTATTAGTAGAAACAGGAATGCTCAGAGATTATTTGGGGCACAGACAATATGCTGCCCCAAAGAACAGTTGGATTTCAACTCTCATCAATGCTAACCAGCATGAAGGCTGATGGGAGATGCAGTCCAACATCATCTAGAACAGCATTTCTCAGACTGGGGAATGGGACCCCTGGGGGGGGGTCGCGAGGGGGTTTCAGAGGGGTCACCAAAGAACGTCAGAAAACACATATTTCTGATGGTCTTAGGAACCTCTTTGGCAGAGAAGGCTGAAGATCCCTCCACCTGTCCTTCTCTTCCTTTTTGGAAACAGATGGTGAATCCTCCCACCAAAATCCCTCCTCCTGCTGTGATTGGCTGGCTGTAAGACTTGAGATTCCAAGTGGGGAGAAAAGAGCAGGCATGCTAGGCGCATGGCAGAGTGGTGCGCATGTGCGGGTGAGGGAGAATGCCTGAGACTTGTGTCCCTTCAAGGCAGGGAGGCCCTTTGATTGTAGATTAACTATAAATCCCCGCAACTACAACTCCCAAATGACAAAATCAACCCTCCCCCCAAAAAAACCCCACCGGTATTCAAATTTGGGCATATTTGGACACTTGTGCCAAATTTGGTCCTGTGAATGAAAATACATCCTGTATATCAGATATTTAAATTAAGATTCATAACAGTAGCAAAATTACAGTTACGAATAATTTTATGGTTGGGAGTCACCACAACATGAGGAACTGTATTAAAGGGTCATTAGGAAAGTTGAGAACCACTGATCTAGAAGACCATAAGTTATCCACCATACCTCAGATTCAAAGTGGCTCTGAGGACAATGTCAATATTTGTTCATAATCCTAGTTTTTATTCTTCCAAGAAGATGCAAATACAGGTTGAATAAAGTCCATGTCTTAGTGATATTGATTTTGTAAAGTGCAGAATGTGTAACTTTTAAATTAGCATTGCTATGTACCGTATTCTTTAACTCCATTAGTTTTACATCAGATATGTAAAATGTTTCTTTCCCAACATGCCAATCTCAATATTGTCATCACTGCTTCCAAATGAAAGATGCCACTGAAGTCAAGACTGCACAGAAAAGAAAGATGCATACATTTACCTTCATCCTTATCAGTTGCAGTTGCTGTCAAAACAGCATAGCCAACATCCTGGTCCTCATCCACATCAGTTTCATACACCAAATGTGGGAAAGCAGGACAATTGTCATTTACATCGCTAATAAATATCCTCACATATGCAGTATCTGGAAAAATAAGTCATTCATTATTAGCTTCTAGAGTTTGAATATGACTACCTCACAACCTCATTTTGGGCCTTCTTCTGTCCTAAGGGAATATGTAATGTGAAAACTTTCCATTAAAACCTTGCTGTCCATGTGGCACTAGCAAATCATAGGAGGAACAAAAGAGCACCTCATCCCAAGAAACCTCCCGACAAAAAGCAGAAATTTATTTATTTATTTATTTTAAATATTTACATTCCACACTTCTCATCCTGCAGGGGACTCAGGGCAGAGCACAACATATATACGGCAAACATTCAATGACGGAATATAAAACCATAAATATATACAAACATTATCAATCTTTGATTTTAACATTGAGAGTAGTGATTTGTTTTCCAAATTCAAGCAGCACATTAATCAAGAGACAGTCAAAATAGCTCAATTTGGGAAGTTCATATTATATGAGGGAATGCATAGGCGAGTGAGTTTCCTAGCTCTCTCTGACCCTTACTGTTGTGTACAAACTGGGGACAAATATCTGTAATAGGGGTCATTCTCTAGCCATTTATCTTGCCCACACAGTTTAATACCCTGGAAAATCATGGCTTATAGGATCAAACTACATCAAAGACTGAAAGATCAGTGCTTTAATTTCCAAAAAGTGCAGCCTTGATTTGAGCTGAGACCAATGTTCATCGATGGGGAAGACCAAAAGCTTTCCTCTACCCACTTTTCAAATAATATTTCATCTCCTGTGAGTTGGGAGCTTACAAAAGAGCACAGAAGCCTCCATTGGTGCCAATAGAGGTTTCCCCTATTTTTTAATTCCTCAGACAATGGTATGTGGGGACTTTAAAATAAAAAACTATACGGGCAGAAGGTTTAAACTTCCCATACTGATGCTTGTCTTGATCTGTAAGTGAGACTACATATATTTTACTTTAAAGTAAAAACAATGGATCATTAGCTGCATGCTACATGTTTAATAGATCATATAGATCACAGGGGAATTCCAGACAGGAAACAATCAGGGCCAGCTAACACCTCCCAACAAAGAATTCCCCCAGGCAGGAACCAGCCAGGTTTTGAAGCTGCAAGGCCATTCAATGATTTTTTGTAATGATACATTTTTATTTTATTGTAATGCACCCACAATACATATTACAAACATATATCTGTGGAATGTACACATATATAGACAACCCGCCACCCACATACAATTACCCCTCAGCCCACCCACTGTGCAACCCACCACCTTGGCTCCCGACACTGATCTACACAGTAATAACATAATAATAATAAAACTTTATTTATACCCCGCTACCATCTCCCCAAGGCACTCAGTGCGGCTTACATGAGGCCAAGCCCACAATATATCAGTAATAAAAGCAATAACAACAGTAATACAAAACAATAAAATAAAACTCATAACAGAAGATAAGCAATAAACATTAACAGTACCACAACGACGTTTAAAAACCTATGGCTGGGCAAAATGTAATAATTATTTTTTTAAAAAATAATGCTGAGCATGAACAGGTGAGATATGACTAGGATAGAGTTTCAATGAGCCATTCAATGCTAATCAAAGTGGCCAACTGCAAAATTCACACTTGACTCAAATAGACAAGAGTTCTTTCTTGGACATTCTGGACATTCCACAGATATTTAAGCCCCACTTGCCTAGTTTCCAACAGACCTCACAATCTTTGAGGATGCCTGCCATAGATGTGGGTGAAACATCAGGAGAGAATGCTTCCTGAACATGGCCATACAGCCCGGAAAACTCACAGCAACCCAGTGATTCCGGCCAAGAAAGCCTTCGACAAAACACTGACCCTAAATTGCTCACAGAGCTGACACAAACAAATAAGGTCTCTTTCTCAATATATTTGTGCCTGATATGTAAAAGGTGATGAGGATGAAAGAAAAAAGCCAGTAGACTCATCTCTATTCTCCTTCACTAAGAACAACTTATTAACAGAGTTTCTTTTGGTGAGTGGGTTTATTCTTTATTTTCAGGGCTTGGTTCACCTTCACGACCGCTATGATTACCTGTGTTAGGTTGTCCATAAATACCAGGCCTGGCTGATTCAGAAGAATCCTGAGACTGGACTTCAACCAAGTAAGATGATCTCTTCTCCCTATCAAACGATGCCAAGGTGGAAATGACTCCTGATGTGGAGTCGATGGTGAAGTACTGGTAATCTCCACTAGAATCCTTTAGTATGGAATAGTGTACCTGTAATGGAGGAATATTCCAGGTGAGTCAAGCTTTCTAATCCATACAATAATAATAATAATAATAATAATAATAATAATAATAATAATACACTTTTTAATATTCTGCTTTATCTCCCCAGAGGGACGCAGAGTGGATTACAATATACACATGAGGCAAATATTCAATGTCTTTTACACACAGTAACAATGACATACAACACAGACAACCGTAAAGGCCTTCCCCTTTTTTTCCATCTCTGGCGTCTGGTGGTGATGCTCAATTCTGGTCATGAGGAGGTGCTCTTGTTCCATTTTTTTCATGCCGAAGAGCCTGTTGTCCATACACATCTCCAATTATGTTGCCGGCATGTCTGCATATCTGTATGGGGTGCCCTTTTACCTTCCCGCCAAGACTTTACCTATTGATCTACTCACATTGCATGCTTTCGAACTGCTAGGTTGGCAGAAGCTAGGGCTGACAGTCGGGAGTTCACCCTGACTCGCAGCTTTGAACTTCCAACCTTCCAGTCAGCAGATTTCTTACAGCTAGTGGTTAAACCTGCGGTGCTACTGTGACCTCTTGGTCATCCATTTTCAATGCAAAAGGCTTCAAAAAGTTATATTTGGAGCTCAATAGAGAAACCAGCACTGGAATCAGTACTGACAATTGAAATGCACTTCTTAAATTTCCCACAATGTTCCCAGAGTAATGCTATTTTAGGGGCATCACAGTTGCCTTTTCAATAGTATTCAATTGAAGTTATTTAAATGAAGATTTTCAGACTCAGCAATTTGGGGTTTAAGAAAGGTGGAGAGACCTTGGGTAGCTGTTTGTACAGTAACAAACCCAGTCAGAGTGTTGCAGTCTCCAGAATGCTAAAGGACTGAGTTGGAGCGAACGGAGTACAGGGAAGATGGCCAGGTTAATTAAATGAAGAACTCAAGAGGTACAATGCTTGTACATTCATTATTAAATACATCCCACGTTCCCATGTTCCCAGTCTGGTGAGATCAATATCAACTCTTAAAGAACCCTAAAAGGTTAGTGAAAGTCTATCATTTCCCACCATATTTGCCCCAGTTCCTCAGACTGCCTCCCTGAAAATACAATCACATTTACTCAAGGATTGAATGGCTCTGTGCCTTCTTCAAAGAAAACAAATTGCCACTCTGAAAGCTCTTTATTCCCGTTCATTACTTGCTCCCATTAAATCGTCCAACTATTTCTCTAGACAATTTCCTGCACCTGATGTAACAAAACAGTCTTTCTTGTCGGTCATCTGCTCTGATTAACATGATGTTATGCTATTAATAATGTGTTTAAATAGTCTTTCTTGTTGGTCATTTGCTATTATTAATATAATATTATGCAATTAATCATGTTATTTATGATATAGTACTTGTTTTTCTCTTTAGCATCTCTTATTGCTTCTTGGTGGTGCAGCAGGTTAAACAGCTGAACTGTTGAATTTGCTGATTGAAAGGTTGGCAGTTCGAATCTGGAGAGGAGGGTGAGCTCCTGCTGTTAGGGACAGCTTCTGCCAACCTAGCAGTTTGAAAACATACAAATGTAAGAACAAAGAAATGTAAGAACAATGCCGTTACCTTCTGTGGGAAGGTAACGGCATTCCATGCAGTCATGCTGCCACATGATCTAGGAGGTGTCTATGGACAACGCTGGCTCTTTGCCTTAGAAATGGAGATGAGCACGACCCCCAGAGTTGGGCATGACTAGACTTAATGTCAGGGGAAACCTTTACCTTTACTGCTTCTTACAAACTTCACTAAAAGTTTGTAAGAAGAATGGTTCTGTTGCTTTTTACTTGTTTGGTAAGACCTCTAGTTCCTGAAGCAAACATTTTTCTTAACACTCTTGCTAACTACATTGGTAATGGGTTGTTGTAGGTTTTTCAGGCTATATGGACATGTTCTAGAAGCATTCTCTCCTGATGTTTCACCTGCATCTATGGCAAGCATCCTCAGAGGTTGTGAGGATGCCTGCCATAGATGCAGGCAAAATGACAGGAGAGAATGCTTCTAGAATATGGCCATATAGCCCGAAAAACCTACAACAACCCAGTGATTCCAGCCATGAAAGCCTTCGGCAATACATTGGTAATGTCTTGCACATTTTTTCTGACCTGGTTTATACACTTTAGATAAAGTTTTATCAGTACTTCTGAGCAAATCAAGCATTTTGAAGAAATTTTAACTGTTTGACTTATCAATCTTTTTAATCAGTTCCATCCTATCAGAAAGATCCTAACAACAACTGTTAAAGAGTACCCTCAAACAGATTATATTAAAATTCAGCTTAATAGCACCGTTTCCAGCTACTTTCGTCATACTCACCTCTCCATTGAGACCTGAGTCTGCATCAGTCGCTAGAACCTGCATAACGGAGGTACCAATCCCTGCTCCTTCAGGTACAGAAACTTCATAAGTAGAAGAAGTGAAGAATGGGACATTATCATTCACATCTGCAAAACAAAGAGATGTTTACCATCCTGCAGCCTTTGTCATAAAATGTTCCTACATTTTAATACTAGACGTGTTTTTATGAAACTTGTGTTTTCATTTAGCAACTCATAAAGCAAATTATGAAGAACATCTTCCTCTTGCTGTCAGCAGTTTAATGCAGGCTGCTCCATAGGTATCATTCATCATTTCCCCCTTTAACCCACCTGACAAAGCCATGCCCAATGTCCTGTGTTGTTATCAAAATCAAGTCAAGCCCAATCCCTGAAACACAGGGCCAAATAGGACTCGTTGGCTGATAACCTGTTAGTCACACATGTAGGCATTAAGTCCACTGTATTTCTGCACAGGTCTTATTTTGGCTGTTGTACAAGTTGACGTTCTCTTCCACTCTTAACAATGACCATTCCCTCTCATAGACTAATCATGCAGCAGCTGTACCCAACCCCCCAATTGTCATTCAGTAGTCATGAAGAAAGACAGATCAAAGAAGCAACCCCACAAATAGAATAATTGTATCATCTATCCAGGTCCTCTGGAGGATATTGGCAGATTTCAGTAAATGATATACTGTATATATTTGACTGCGCTCCATACAGTCATGCCGACCACATGAGCTTGGAGGTGTCTACGGACAATGCTGGCTCTTGGGCTTAGAAATGGAGATGAGCACCAACCCCCAGGGTCCGACATGACTGGACTGAATGTCAGGGGAAACCTATATATTCAAGTATAAGCCTAGCTTTTCAGCCTTTTTTTAGGCTGAAAAAGCCCCCCTTGGCTTATACTCAGGTGAAGGTCCTGGTGGGAAGGTATGGGGCTGAAAGAAGGGCTTCTTTCAGCCCCACACCTTCCTGCCAGGACCCTCACCTCTCTGGCCCACTTTACCTGTCCGAACATGTCTCTCCCTATGAACCATCAAGGACTTCAAGATAATCTGGGGAGGCCCTGCTCTCGGTCCTGCCACCATTGCAGTTCCATTAGGTGAGAACAAGAGACAGGGCCTTCTCTGTGGTGGCCCCTCGGCTGTGGAACTCCCTTCCTAAAGAGGTTAGATCAGCCCCCTCCCTCCTGACTTTTTACAGGACACTTAAGACTTGGCTATGGGAGCAAGTGTTCACAAAATAGACAGTTTTTATTGGCTTAGATGAGATTGCATGGATTGCATTTTTTGGACTAATTTGGAGCACATTTTAAACTTGGTGAACTGTTTTTAAATGTATATTTATTATCATTTTATGTAATTGTGTATTTTATTGGTGTTTTTATATTGTTGGAAGCTGCCCTGGTTCCCTGTTTGGAGGTTGAGAAGAGGACGGGATACAAATGTTCTAAATAAATAAATAAGCCCAGCTCTCCTTCTTCTCCTCCCCTCTCACGTAGTGCGCACCTTCCTCTCCTCCTCTCTTGGCACCAGTCTTTCCCACTTTTCCTTATTCATATACACACAGCATTTTCCCCAAAATATATAGTTAATTATTGGAAGGTGATTATTGGAAGGATACGTAAGCACATTTACATTGAAGAAGGTTGGAATAATGATTTATTCGAAGTTGGACAGTTTTATGCCTTAAATTACAGATTTATGTAAATATCCAAAAACATTTAACCTATTCATGCCTCAATTAATGCAATTTTATGGGCATCTAATTTTATTTTGAAATTTACCAGTAGATGCTGCATTTCCAACCCTCAGTTTGTACTTGAGTCAATAAGTTTCCCCAGTTTTTTTTGTGGTAAAATTAGGTGCCTCGGTTTATATTCGGGTTGGTTTATACTCGAGTATATACGGCACTCATTCTGCTTCTTGCTACAGAGAATGGTCAGACACCAGCCACATTATCTAGCAGCCATACAAGCACCATGGGGAACTGCAGCAGTTCAGTAATGAGTTGGGAAATTGAGTGGGTCATTGTAGCCAAGTTCCAAGTGCAGGTTTATAATGCTGCATTGATCTTGGCCACTATCCTAAAGCTCATCAGGTTGCAGATTCTGAGCAGAGTGCAATGTTCTAAAATTTAAAATGAAAGTATCAAAAACAACCAGATCCCTACTGTCATTTCATTAGGGGACTGACCTGTTATATTAACACAAACAGTGGTGAAGGATGCCAAAGGGATGGTTGCTACATTCTGAGCTTTGATGCTCAGTGTGAACAGCTTGGTGGTCTCAAAGTCAAGGGGTTCAGCGACCAGAAGTGAAGCAGACCCATCGGCTCTGTTTGGTTTGAGGTAGAAACGGACAGGCATATTAGTCTCTGGAACCTGTCCCTCCTCCAGGTGATACGTAACTCTTGGATCGCCCAGCGGTGATGTGGCTTTGACAGTCTGGAAGCAAGCAAGCCAAACAATACACACAAACTGTGAAGCACATCAGTGTGGGAAGGAACATTTCAAAATGATATTTTTGAGATCAGACTGTTAAAAACAAATTAACTGAAAGAATGATCCTGTTAATCAATTTTCCTTTCCCAGAAACCCTCCTATGGGTAATTTTGGAAACTGTAGTCTACAAAAATACATTTTACTTTTATCTGTTTGTCTTATTTATATCCAGCCTGTCTCCCAATATGGGATGAATTTGATTTATATTCTAAGCTGTGATCTCAAGACCCTTCCAGATTACAGAGTTATACCACTATGATTCCACTTTAACTTCCACATATTAACATCCTATGGAATTCCAGCTGAGACTTCTAACTATTCTTCCTTAACTGTAAATCCCAGGATTCTATAGGATGTGGGATCATAATGCCATAATTGAGCTCCCATTGGCACAGCAGGTTAAACCACAGAACTGCTGAACATACTGACCAAAAAGGTCAGTGGTTTGAATCCGGGGAGCGGGGTGAGCTCCCGCTGTTAGCCTCAGCTTCTGCCAATCTAGCAGTTCGAAAACATGCAAAGGTGAGTAGATCAATAGGTGGGAAGGTAAAAGCACTCCATGCAGTCATGCTGGCCACATGACCTTGGAGGCATCTATGGACAACGCCAGCTCTTCGGCTTAGAAATGGAGATGAGTACCACCCTCCAGAGTTGGACACAACTAGACTTAATGTCATGGGGAAACCTTTACCTTTAATGCCATAATTATGTAGTGTGGAAGGAACGCTACAGCTAAAATGTTAATAAGAGTGGGGCAGGAAAAGTCACAGCATACCACTATCTTGGTGTCACGGGCTGTGCTCTCTGGGATTGTGATCGAATATGAACTTTCATCCCATTGAGGTGACTGGTTAAGCACATCCGTAATAGTGACTGTCAATTCCACAGTGCTGCTCCGGTTGCCTCCATCGGTGGCTGTGATGTATCTGTTTATCTGGAATGTCTGCAAAAGGATTTGTAATAGCTATTGACAAAAGTTGAAACAGTGATATAATATAATCAGAAGTGATATAATGTAATCAGAGGAGGTACCTGAGAGATGACATGATTCACATATACCCAGCCTGTGCTGGGGTTGATTTTGAAATATTCTGGCTCCTGCTGCACCATGGAGTAGGTAATGGCAGCATTCACACCCTGGTCATCATCATGAGCTGTAGCACAAAGGAAACTCGTTCCCACTGGAGTATCTTCACGGAGGAAATCTTTCAAAAGAGAAATATAGAGTACCTTTTGAGTATATCCTGGCGTAGTGCAGTGATGGATTAAGCAATGGAAGCCATAGTCTCATGTTGCTGGTTGAATTAGCTCTAGTGACAATGTCTGCCATGTTTTCGGGTGGAGTTTCTTGTGCCATCCCCCTCCCTGGTCAGCAGTAAGAACATTAAAAGTGCCCTGCATGCCTTCATCTCGTCCACTGTTATGACTCCAAGGACTTCTATCTTAAACCCTAGGAGTGATGCTAACTGGCAGTCTTAAAAACACTGGTTTAAATGAACCAATGATAACACTCTGTGTAAGAGAAGTGTTCTTGTGGGTTATCTGGTGTTTGCCATAGTTCATGGTTTGCCTTTGAAAAAGCAGATCTTTCCACCATCGTCAGCACGCCATTCCAATGATTGATATTATCATTCCTTTACAACCTGGTGAATAATGTACAGGCTGCACAGCAGCAATCTCCTTGTAACTATACCACCTTCCTTGTAACTATATCATTCTTTTTATACTGCTATTTGCATATGTCAATTGAAAACAATCTGCCCTCTGTGTCTACAGATTTTGTATCTAAAGCTTTAACTATCCATGGCTTTAAAACACATTTAAATATTCCAAAACCTTGATTTTGCCATTTTATATAAAAGACACAATTTTATTGTCCAAGGCTTTTATGGCCGGGTTTTTTTGGGCTATATGGCCATGTTCTAGAGGCATTCTCTCCTGACATTTCGCCTGGATCAATGGCCATAGATGCAGGCAAAAACATCAGGAGAGAATGCCTCTAGAACATGGCTACATAGCCCAAAAAAAACCTACAACTACCCAGACACCATTTTACCACACAATTGTATATAATGAGACTTGGTCATCCATGGATTTTGGAATAACACCCTAACAAATACCAAGATCCCAATGTATAAGAAATTACCGTGATAGTACGTGAACGGGCACTCTCTATACTCAATGATAAGTGTACATTCATTCTCATAAACAACCGCCTGTGGCAGTCTACTTACATTGATACCGGCTGTTTTCAAACTTTGGATCATTGTCATTTACATCGGCAATGTAGATAGTAATCTGACACATTCCAATCAGTGGCTCCTGGGCTTGATCCGTAGCAATCACAGAGAGCATATACTCCCTCTGCTTCTCTCGGTCAAAACTCCGAGTTGTAGTGATGACACCTAAACAGAAACAACGCTGTAAAAGAGACCAGCTATAAAAGTGGTCTCAGCCCTAGTTATCAGTGAATTTTTGCACAAATTACATCCTCACTGAGCCACAATGTTCAGACATACTGAAATCTTTTACCTTGCCAACTTTGTTAAAACGCTTTTCTTGTCCCACTATTCAATTTTGGGTACTGTTCCATTATCCGGGTGATGGATGCTTTGGTTTGTGGGGTCAAGAGTGGTTGAAGGAGGAAAGCCATTTCCCCCTGTTTTCCTGTTGTTCCCTCTACCCATGTCCCTGACATGGAAACAATCCTTGTTTATGATATGGGAAGAGGGAAAGAAATAACCAGCAAAAATGGTTTTCCTCCTTCAACCTTCCCACCACCACAAAATGAAGCATCCTTCTCTCTCTAGCTGTTGGAAATAGCAACCTTCTCAAGCCTCCACTAGTTATTTGTTATGTATATAATGGCTTAATGCATTTTATGTGTAAATTGGTTTGCAATTTTACCTAATCTCTTTGTTGTGGGAGGGGCTGCAGACCATGTGATCAGAATTGGGCATGTTCAGATTAAAGACTCCATCTTAGTTTCTAGAAGTAGCCAATAGACTCTTAAAGAGAGTAGTAGCCATTAGACTCTTAGAGAGAGTAGAAGCCATCTGTATGCTTTAGACTTCAATGCAGGAACAGTATGCTTAGAGACTTATTAGACTCTCAAAACAGAGAATGCTTTAGACTAGACTATTGTTTCTAAGGAAGATGCCCTGTGTTACCTATACAGAGAAACTACTACAAAATCCTATTGTAACTGGATTCATAAGCAAAGTGCCCGTATGCTGTATCCATTTGTTATTTGTTTATTTATTTATTTATTTATTTATTTATTTCAACAAATTTGTACCCCACCCTTCTCAACCCTCAGAGGGGGACTCAGGGTGGCTTACAGCCAGCAATGATTCGATGCCCCACAAACAACATAATAAAATACAATAATTACATACAGGTAAAAACATTAAAAACAATTAAAATTAAAATCTGTTTTAAAATCTTACTGGCTGGTTGGCCTTATCTGACATTTTGTGAGTAAATCAACTCTGTTACTTTTAAAGAAGACTGTTTATTTTGTCTCTTGAGACCATAAGTTAAAGGCAAATATATTTTATGTGAGAGTAGATGTTTTTGGGCAACTTCAAGGAACACTTCTGAAACACTGCTGTATATGTGTGTTTTTGTGCATTGGCATGTCTTTGTCCCTAGCAGTTCAAAGACATACCTAGGTACATCAGTTTAACAGCTGAGAGACCTAGTTGCCTTGCATGAATGTTGGAGAATGTTATTTTTCAAAAGGGTTATGACTTCTACCAAGGTCCTGCCTTTCCTTTGACCAGTGGTTTTCCAAAAAAAGTATGAATCCAATTTCCCAAATGGTTATGGAGGTTCACATTTTCCAAAACTAGCACCCCCTTGCGATCTCCGCCTGGATAATGAAACAGTACCCAATTTTGTTTTCTTTCTTATCTCAAATTATTTAGAGGCACACACAATAGGAAGTCTAATATATTTTTGCTCATTTGTCTTCTCCCAGGAAAGAGCTTTTCTAAAAAAACTGAAAATGACAGGAAGCATCATAATGTCTCATGAAATAACCAAGAATGCATAGTCAGTTTGAAGTGCATTGGGAGTCTTAGATGTGGAACAGACCACATGTGATCTTTCATATGTTGCTGGCCTACAGTTCCTATAAGTTCTAACCAGCATTACCAATGGTGGGGACTGATGGAAGTTAGAGCCCATTAACATCTAAAGAGCTACACCTTTCCAGTGTGTGTGTGTGTGTGTGTGTGCGCCTGTGCCTTCAAACCATCTGTTGACTTTTGGAAGTATATTATTGTTCATTCACTCTCCTTAGGCTTCCCCCCTGCTGTGCCAAAAGGATCAGGTAAGAGTTGTTTTGCCTGAGGCTCTAAGACAGCTTGCATGAATTCATGGTAATTAACCCTATTCATGGTAAGTATGTTCATGTGTCTTCAAGTTGGAAGCAAAAAAGGAGAAACGAAAAGCAAAAGGCAATGTAACAAATAATGTAACATTCAGTTTCAAAGTCTTGCAAGTTTAACAACATCGTGTTACTCTGTCAACTCTGTAGCAAGTTGTTTAATTACTTTGCAAAAAGTAGCAATCTCTAATGTTGCCATCCTGATTCCTGCAGTGTGCAATTAAAACACATTCAGCAATCTATGTATGTATAATATGCCTTTGGGTCCCCTTATGGGTAAGATTTTCTGAGGTAAGGAATACTCGAAGGTGGTTTTGCCAATTCCTTCCTCTGAAATATAACCTATGCAACATATCATACTGCCAAGCAGGGATTGGCGCATTGGGTTCAATTCTTGTGCTGGCAGGACTGAAGACCTACAGGTCACAGGCTCGAATCCAGGGAAAGCGCAGATGAGCTCCCTCTGTCATCTCCAGCTCCCCACATGGGGACATGAGAGAAACCTCCCACAAGGATGGTAAAACACCAAAAAAAATCCCCTGGGCAATGGTTAATTCTCTCACACTAGAAGCGACTTGCAGTTCCTCAAGTCGCTCCTGATATGAAAAAAGGGGGATTCAAACCCTTGTCTCCAGAGTTGTAGTCACTACATTGTACTGGTTCAAAGACAAGTTCTCTGACTATGTTGTTATTGTGTGCTTTCAACTTGTTTCTGACATATAATGATCCTAAGGCAAACCTTATTAGAGGGTTTTCTGGGCAAGATTTGTTCAGAAGAGGCCTGCCATTACCTTTCTATGTCTGAAAGGGTGTGATTTGCCCAAGATCACCCAGTGGGTTGCAAAATAAGATGAAAACCATGATTTTCAGGGCTCTGCTTGAAGACTCAAACCACTACCTCTCACTGGCTCTGCTCCCATTTCCCTGCTAATATACCTGTGACAATGGTGGGCACAAAGAGCAGGGCCACCAAGATAAAGAGCAAAGACATAGACTAAAAACAGGAGAGAGGCATTAATGAGATATTCTGATCCAATCACACCTGGGAGCTCTCTGCTAGGCCAAGTACATTTCTTCTTACCTGAGTCAGGATCAATGCTGAAGCCTGGCGAAGCCCCATCCCTGTGCATGAGGCTGTACTTCACTTCCCCATTCTGACCAAGGTCTGCGTCATAGGCTTCCACTCGCAAAATATAGGTGCCCGGAGGCTGGTTCTCTAGAACCCAGGTGTTGTCACTGTAGTAAGCACACTAAAATAGAAATCTGTTAGCAAGCCTTCCAAAAAGCAGTCTTCCCCAGCTTTAGCGTACTTTGAACATCATACATGCAAAACATCCTTTAGGTATGTCGGGCTACAGCTCCAATCAGCACAATCAATCATATGGAGCAACAAAAAAAAAAAGCATAATTGCCTTCAACATTTCATACACATAAACAGGCACATATGTAGCCAAGCAACATCAGTGTGTGGGTAACAAGAGCTTGGATGTTATTAATGAGAAAGACTACCCAAATCCCTAAATTTGGTAGCTTCTGGAAGCAGAATGCTTCATTTATTTAGGGATTTCTTTTCAGTTTCAGGAGTTTCTTGGGGTTTGGGGGTGTAGTATCGATAACACAGTTCTCATGCCTGATTTGGGGAAAGAATAGTATATTGTCAAGATTTCATTAAGGCTGATCAGAACTTTATAGAGTTTAGTTTTTTCACTATCAAACACAAAAGAGAGCAAACATTGCCCCACATTAACCAACCAACTCTCAAATTATTGCTAACAAAAGAATCTTGAAAACCAGCAAAGTTTGCAGTCAATCGCCTCACCTCTCTGAAGATAGGCTTATTGTTGTTGATGTCATTAATCCCCACCACAACTTCAGCAAAGCTGCTAAGAGATCTTGGCCCACCGGAGGTATTGTCATCTATAGCAGAGATATTTAAAACATATTCTGGTCCCTTCAGTTTAGGCACAGGGTTTCTACGAAGTCGAAGGATCCCTAGATTTAGGAGAAGGGAGATACTGAGGTTATTGCACATATGAGAGTAACAGGCAGGGTCAGATTTAACATCTAGATGCAAGTCTACTTCTTAGTCTACTGTGGAAATCCATAAACCAGCTTTTCCTACCCTAGAATCATAGAATTGCAAGAGACCTCATGGGCCTTCCAGTCCAACCCCCTGCCAGGAAGCAGGAGAATTGCATTCAAAGCACTCCCAACAGATCGCCATCCAGCCTCTGTTTAAAAGCCTCCAAAAAAGGAGCCTCCACCACACTCTGGGGCAGAGAGTTCCACTGCTGAACGGCTCTCACAGTCAGGAAGTTTTTCCTAATGTTCAGATGGAATCTCCTTTCTTGTAGTTTGAAGTCATTGTTCTGCATCTAGTTTCCAGGGCAGCAGTAAACAAGCTTGCTCCCTCCTCCCTATGACTTCCCCTCACATATTTATACATGGCTATCATGTCTCCTCTCAGCCTTCCCTGATGTCTCTCACAGCATACAGCCAAGCATATCTGCAAGTATGCGGAGTTTGGAAACTTGAGATCTTCTGCGAAAGCCTTTCTTTCCATTCTACCACCTTAAAAAGTATACCTGGGGAAAAGGCCTTCTCCATGGCTGCTCCCAGGCTCCAGAACTCCCTCCCAAGAGAGCTTCCCTTTCCTATCTTCCTCACCCAGGAATTGACTCACCTTTGCGGCTGTCCAGTTCAAAATTGCCTTCTTCATTGCCACCACTAATTAAGTACATCACTCCATCTCCATCGGGATCTTTTGCAAGGACAGTGGCTACTAATGTACCTGGTCCAGCATCTTCTGAGAGGAAAGTTTCATAGCTGATGCAAGGAAAATAGAATCACCTTCTAATTACTAATCTAACTAACAACATCCTGCTAAATCGATCTACATAAAAAAAATGGCTAGTTCAGCAAGTCTGCTTCTTATGCAAGCTCATTGAATAAAGTTTGATTTATATGAATTTATTGAATACCATAGAATTGCTCTGAAGGACCTAGAAAATTCCTAGCGAAAATCTCCTGGTCTACGCTGGAAACTTTTAGCAGAAGTCGATGATTAAATTAACCATTAATTTCACCACTGAATTCAATGGTCAGTGCAATAAGTTGACCATTAAATTTCTCTGTAGACCTAGAGTGAATACTTCTCTAGCCATTTTCTAAATCCTCCATAATGATTCTATGATATGCTTCTGCAAGAAACCAAAGATATTGTTCATTTCAGGTATGAAAAAACAGCTTTCAGACTATAGAAAAATAACTCCAACATGCCTATGCACCTAGTTTCTCATAAAGTCCTTTAAGTATGTTTTGTAATTAGACCATTGATTTAGAATTTGCTCATTGTTCCAAACCAGTATCAGTTTTGGACTTATCAGCTGTTTTGGTGTCTCTAAGTAGTACCAATGGGATAATACTGACTACACAGAATTAGCACAGGCAGTTGGGAGGAAAACACATGAAAATATAAGCATTCTCCTTACACAGACTGAGAGAACACCGGAGCTTCGTCGTTCACATTAGCCATACGGATGCGCACCGAGGCAGTCCCTGTCCGAGCTGGATGTCCCTGGTCAACAGCGATGACGACAAATTCATACATGTGGTTTGATTGCTCAAAGTTCAGTTGTTGGTTGGAACTGATGACACCATCAGGTGTGATGGAAAAATCGGCAGTTTGAAGGAAATAGATGATTTCAGAATTGGAGCCAGAGTCACAGTCTGTTGCAAGAACTAAAGTCAGGAACATTGGGAAAGAATAAAGCCAGGAGGAGAGATGGGCTTAATTACACAGTGTTGCAACAACAGTGTTTTTCAAGCTGTCTGAAATAGAGAGCAGTCAACTTTTATCTTCAATGTGCCAGGGATGGGTACTCTACCTGTGCCCACTGGCGACAATAAATATTTTGTTCTTTTAAAAATGCTTGGGACCAGTGATCTTGGGTGTTGGGATACCTACATTTTCATATATACATCATGAGATATATTGGATATGGAACCCACGTCTAAACAAACCATCTTACCTTGCAGTAAAGATGTCCCTATAGGAATGGATTCTAGAATATTTTCCCGACTATAAATGGATTGCTGAAATTCTGGAAAACAGTCATTTTCATCTGTGATATGAACAATAACCTGCATGAGGCAGGAGAAGGAAATTATTTTACTGATTCATAAAACAGAAAACAATCCTTTTATATAGTAGAATATCCAATGTCTCATCTTTAGAACAGAATAACAATAAAAAACACTATGATAATTATACAGTTACATTTAATTTCAGATTTAAACATATGTAAACATAAACAACAATAAATCAACAAGAAAAGGTAATGGAAGGTACTTTAGGGTGTATTTGTTGGATCTTGGTGTGTGTGTGTGTGGCAAGCACACAGAAGCAGAGCTGGCATTCTGAGGCATCTGAAAGGATGTCATGTCATTTCTGCTCACCGCTTAAAGCCCTAAAAGGGGTTCTGGGGTGTTCTGGGCATGGTTTTGGCTCAGAAAACAGACTAAAAATATCACCCAAAGTTTTGAAAAAATGAAGAGGGATGTTTCAGGTTTCTTTGGGAAACTGCAAGGTACCTCTGAATTGCATGCAATTTTTTGATCATTTGTTTTGGTTTTTTTATGGACAATGAGCAACAGTCATATTGAGCAGACAGAAGGAGAATTCCACATATTGTACCACTGTGAATGTTACTGTTGATTGACATTTGGAAAGCACTGTGCAACAGTGCATCAAGCTACAAACAAAGTCTTTAAGTGCACATTTCTTGCAGCTATCCAATATAATGAGTTCAAAATGGAAACAGAACATAACTGGGTTGCTGATTATTTACACTGTGTGGTACTGATGAAGTTTTCAGCCAGTGTGTAGTTTAATCCCAAGGGGAATACCACAAGAAGTGCCATAAAGTGAAAGTTTTCTTCTTCTATTTCTTAATGTATGGCTGATCACTCATCAAAACCTACCCTGCTTTTAAGGACAGCTCCATGCAACCATCTTAACATGCAAACCGCCATATTGTCATGAACAAATAATCAGGATTTGATTTTCCTCTCAGCCATGGAAATCCACTGGGTAACCTTTGGTAAGTCACACATTCTGAGCCCCAGCACACCCTTGTGATAGGTTTGGATCACTTTAAGTCATCAATCAATTGAAGACACACAAAAACAAAAACAAAAGTGTTAAAAACAGACTATACCTCAGTTACACTGCTGAGCAAACTTTCTGCTTCCATAGCCTTCACTAAGAAATGGTAGAGATGATGTTCACTCTCATAATCCACTGCATGAGTCAAGCTGAGCTCACCAGTTTCTTGGTCCATGCTGAACAGGCCACTGGGATTCATCAGAAGCGTGTAAGAGATAGGCTGGCTCTGGAAAGAAACTGCTTCAATGTCTGCCACCCTGAGAAGGAGGGGGGAAAACACTCTGATTGAGACATGAATAAGAGTTGGAAGATGCAAAGTAGGTTCCCCTCCCAAGGAACTAGCCATGTTGCAACTTCCAAATCTTGGAAAGCTTACATATTGCAATACTACTCCCAGAATCCACCAGTTAGAAGCAACTGTGGTCTAAAAAGTCAAAGTTTTCAGAGGTTTTTTAAAAACAGGTTCTTCATTTTTGCTCCTCATTTTTATGCCTCCCATATCTAGATTTAATAGATGCTGATTGTGCCTTAATAAAAGAGGAAACAAATGCAACCACTAAATACATGAGACAACTGGTGGCTCCCACACAGGAGTGATGAATCCATTCCAGGTTTCAGTTGGAACTCTGGAGCCATTTCTGGACCAATATGTGGAATAGATTTATTAACACAGACGCCACCAGCCATTACTATTGTACACTGTTGTGATTTATAGTCTTTAACCAATTATATCATGAATAGAGCTATCAATAGCTACTACCACATATACTCATGTATGACTTGACCTCATGTATAAGTCAAGGGCAGGTTTTGGGCCAAAATTACAGCATATGGATAAGTCAAGGTTTTTTCTGCTGAGACAGGAAATTATCCTTACTACCATTTTCCAATTCAGAAGTCTTATTGAGTATAAGGGGAAGGTCTTTCTTTTAGCTTGTCCGGGGATGAACTAAACTCTTGCCTTTTGCTACTCTAGCTACAGAAGGGAATGATTCCTTTTATCCGTTATAGTATTCACACTGACCTGTAGATATGTCAAGCCAAGTTTTTAGGGTTGTTTTGGCTGAAATGTCTAGACTTATTCCCAAGTTGGGCCAGAACCCAAACAGTTCTGGCCCAACTTACCTGTCCGAAAGTATCTCCCCTTACAAACCACTGAGGACTTTAATATCATCTGGGGAGGCCCTGCTCTCAGTCCTGCCTTCGTCACAAGCACGTTTGGCGGGGACGAGAGACAGGGCCTTCTCAGTGGTGGCCCCTCGGCTA